CCACCCCACGCCTTTCCACTAAGCAGCAAATCCTCCTCCCTGTTTTATACAGGTCTCCTTGGGCTGATGTGGGAAAAAATGTCTTTCCTAATTTTACCCTAAGCAATCTCTTCCCCTGAAAGTATGTATGTTTTTCTACCTAAGAGGAGTGGTGATGTGCCAACATTCTTTTAAGCTTTAGGAAAATGTTTGCAAGCCCCTTGAAATTTTTGCTAGACAAATTCTCTACTTGAGGACTATAAAAGATCCCTTAAACCATTGCCTGACGTAGTCGCACTCTCCATTGAATGTGAACAAAATCCATTTTTTAGGGGGGTTAAGTGTGTTTCATCTATGTGCCTCTCCTGGGAAATTACTTTCTGGCTCTGCCCAATTTCTCATGCACAGAGAGACGTTTGTACATTTCTGTACACACCCTATCTTTTCAACACTTGCACCAGGAGGTCTCTAATGAGGCTTTTGGAACTGGCGTGTATGTAATTGACAGTAGGTTCATAGCCTTGGGGCTGAAGAGTACATATAGAGAGGCTGGAATTCCCAGTCTGGGACCTCTGCTCCAGTCCCTGCTTTCAGGGTCTCTGCCTTCATATACTGACATGGAGCACCACTGGGTATGGATGGCTTATATCAGTCCCCCATCCCATCCTATCTTCCCTGTCCCCTGTAGATGGTGGCACACAGCACCAGTGTAGCCTCCTAACTTAATTGACTCTTCTCTTATTTCCTGATTTTTATTTCACAATGACCTTGGTTTGAGTTTCCTTGTGAGTATGCTTGGCTTGAGGATGGCCATTCTCTCTCTCCTCAGAATACCTGAGCAGGTCATTCCATCTCTGAAGGTAATGGCATTACCCTGCCCCATTGTGGTATCTATCCTTAGGAACTGGAACTGTGTAGCTACTGGGCAGAAATGTCCTATGACATCAGAAGCATATTGATGGAGTGATCTACTCCACCCAAAGCTATAGCTATCTTCTGGGGCACCTTCTGATCATCCTCAGTGTCACTTTGTAAAATTGTATTCATAGACTATTACCAGTTCTACTGCATATGTTTTGTGAATTGCCTGCTGAAGTCATGGGCAATATTTCTTTTGGAGGGTTTATTTATTTCTTTTGTTGATTCTTGGGAGTCCTTTATACACACAAAAAGGATATTTTTCTACTAGCTGGCAAATATTGTTCTCACTTGATTTTTAAGTTTGTCTTAGACTCTTGTTAATATAGAAAACATACCTTAACATCATAGTTATTAAAAAGGTATTGTGTGACTTTTAAGACACTGATTTTTAAGACTTTGTCATTAATTTCTAGTTTTAGTGAATTTGATTGGACTCAAACCTATAAAAATTTCTTCTTTGAGGGATTTATTGAAGTCATACTGTGACCTAGTATATGGTTTTTTTGTAAAAAATTAATGAGCATTGGAATAGAAAGTTTATTCTCTCTTTATATTCATTACATACATCTAGTAAATACATTATTATTATTTGTATTATATACATACTTGCTTTTTCTTGTTTGATTAGTCAGAGTCTAAGATATAGGTTAAAGTCTTCAAATGTGCTTTTTAAAAATCAGTTTTTTCTTTTAAGTCTCTTACGCATCTTTTTTTAAATGACCATCTCAGTCCACTTAATGTTTTTTTATTTTTTATTTTTGGTTTAAATTCTACTTCAGTACTTTCACTTTATTGTTGCAACAACTGCTTTTTGTTTATTTACATTTCCTTATTATGTCTTTGTTCAGTTTGTTGTTTTTAAGATTACTGAATCATTCTGTTTTAGGGTTTATCATTTAGCATGCAATTAGATTTTGATTTTTTGACAGCCTGAGAGCTTTTCTCTGTTTTAACCCATTTATATTTATTGTCACATTAGAAACACTTTTTTTCCTTTTGTCATTTTTAAAAGCAGTTTAAGTGCTTTCATGCAATTTAAAAATGTATTTACTATGTAGATTCTATTTTCTTTAATTTTTTCTATGAACTTTTGGTTTCATTTGAATTATTAAAAAAAATTAGACATGGGTCTTATAGAGAGGACTTTTTGACATTACCCTCTGCAGGATGAGGCAACTACCCACACTTTTATTTTTGCAAGCTTTTCCCCTGTCTCTTGAACAATTTTGTTTGTTAAGTCTTTATGGAGGACTCTGCTATCTTAGAAAACCACTCTTCCAGAGTAGTTGTCATGCTGGTACAGCAGCTCATGGTATGACTGTCATCTCTAAGTCACTTCGCGTAATTTCCAGGAAACATAATTCTATATGCTGTTTCAAGACAAATCTCACTGCCCAAGAAAGCTGCCTCTTCACAGTTGTCACCAGCCTCTCTGCTGGTTCCTGCTGCTTCTCCACTGTCCATTTCTTATAGCTGTTGGAGCCCCCCTGAGAACACTGACCTTGGAATCTACTGACCTGTAGTGACCACATGGACCACAAAAATATTTCACATGGAGTTTTTCCTGTTGGTCTCATCATCCACCTTACATTATATCCACAGACTTGAACAGAGAGGTAGAAGACAGTAGAGAGGGTCTAGTTCAGAGGCTGTTAGGGGGTAAAGGTGAAAAATGATGTCAGTTTCAACCAGACCCATGATACTGATGTCTGACTGGTTTTGACCTATAAAAAAGGCTGCTGCTCTGCTGTTCATCCTAGATGCAGAGATGGAAAGATATGGGCAGATTTGAGCAAAGCTAATAAGTAGAATAAAAAAGAAAAAGAAGGTGAGGGATGAGACTGAAGGAGAAGCCCAGACAGATGCCCAGATGTCCAGTTTGGAGGACTGGATGGGTCATAGTACCACCCACTAAATTCTATATTTCAGGAAGAATGGCCCATTGGGCAATGAGGGAGAAATTCTGAGAATGAAACTGCTCATATCTGTTGCATGTGATTGCTTTTGAGGCATTGATATGGTATTGGGGTGGGAATACAGAACTGTGAACTGGATAAATAAAACTTGTGTTTGAGTGAAAGGTATGGGGTGCAGAGCTGGCCTTAGGGGGCTGTCAGTGAATTGGCAGCTGTTGAAGAAAGAGTATGTGCAGTAAAAAGATGAGTAGCGGAGGTTCGCATTTGATAGGAGGATGGAAAAGGAGGGATGCCCTTAAATCTATGGTAGAATAATCCCAGATTTGTGAGAAAAACCATGAGAATAAAGTGTCATCTGAGCCTAAATAGGAGAAGACCTAGAAAAGAAGAAGCTATGAACACTGACAATTGTAAAAGAATGGTCAAGTAGTGATTATAATTTTAGTAAACATTTGTTGATAATGTGCAATGGGCCTTACCTTGTTCTAGGTTGGCTATTAACTCCCTTCAGCTGAAAAAATTACTCAATGAGGTAGACACTATAATTACAGATGAAGAAACTGAGGCACAGAGCAGTAAAGTAACTTGCCCGTAGTAGTAAGGGACATATTCAAGACTCGAACTTCTGTTCCAGAGAATAAGCACCACACTACCCTCCTCTTAAAGTAAGATGAAAGCTGGACAAATATCTATTGGGTGTGGAGATTATTAGCGTCTTCCATGAAAGCAGTTTTTGGGGAAGTATTGGAGACAATCTAGATTATAGCAGGTTGACGTTTTGCAGTGGGAAGTCAGGAAGTGTTGGGAGTAAGTGAAGAAAAAACTACTGAGAATTGTGTTACTGAAACACAACTGGATGGTATTAGAGAAGAACCTGCAGCTGAAGTCAGTTTTTAAAGAATAGGAGAAGCTGTTGAAGTCAAGGTCAGGAATAAAAGGGAGGGTTTGAAGATACAGAATAGAGAGGGGGAAAAAATGAGAAGAACCGAGAAACTGGAAATTATAGCAAGGGTCAAGAGCACTGGCTATCCTAGCAGAGAAGAAGCAGTGCATGATGTGGATGGACATTAGGTCAATGGGTGAGAAATTAGAATTTAACCCTCTTTTGCCCTTTTTCCTCTTGTACATGTATGTGTCTGCTGGGATTGGTCATGCAGATATTGAAAGCAGAATATTTGCATAGGGATAAAGGAGTGGGATAGGCTTGACAAAGTTGAAATCCAGGTGCTAAGGAATTGGAACTTTGTGAGAGATTTGTATGGGTGACTAACCAATGTGTTGGGAGGAACCTGGGCTTGCTGAGAATGCAGAGAGCTCCAGGTGGGTGTATAGACTCTAGAAAAGTAGAGGCCATGTGACCCAGAGTTGCTGATCAAGAGAAGTGAGTTGGGAGCGGACTGTGGGTAGGAGATTGTCAGAGTATAGGAAAATGGAACTTCCGGCATTAGGGAAGGACAAGATCAGACTGTGGATGAAGTAGATTGGAGGATAAGGCCATTGGAATTAGGGAGGTAAAGGGTTTGGCCATGTTGCCCACACAGACATTCATATCGCCTCGGTGAAGATAGAGGTTGGGTAACAAGAGACGCTAAATGAATTTTAAATTTTTTTTTAATGGAAATAAGCAGTTTGGGTTGAGCCAAAGTAGAAAACTCAAATAACTTGCTGCCTTCTATTTCGGGATACCAACAGGTAGGTCGTCACTTATTTTTAAGAGGTGTTATTAAGAAATTCAGATAAAATATGTTCCTTGGGAATGTAGCATAAATGGCTTATGGCAGCTTCTGAGGTAGGCATCTCCCTTACCCTTCATAAGAAAGTCAGGTTATTAGGAAGTAGTTCTCTGTGCTTCCCTTGAAACCACAATGAGAAGGATGCAGATTGGGGTCTCCAGGATCTCAGTGTTTGGGTTGTTTTTCCTTAATCTAAGTGTTATTTCTGAAATCCATTAGAGATGTTCCATGCAACTGACTCTCCTTTTACTAGCCCACCAGAGTGTGACCTTTTTACCTTGTGTTGAAAATCCCAGTGAATTGCCAAGATAGCATGCTGTCTTAATAGAAGGCCTCTTTGCCTGCTTCTGATGGGATGTGGAAACATCAAGGGCGGGGGCTGGGCAGCTTCCTGTGATGAATGCCTACCACTGCTTCTGTGAAATTGACTCCCGCCCTGTGTGTGTTGCAGGTGATATTTGAATCCGTCTCTTTGAAGGGTCATCCTGGCTACATCGCTGTGGACGAGGTCCGGGTCCTTGCTCATCCGTGCAGTAAGTCTGCCCCCTCCTCTCAATACAGCCTTGCTCCATGCCAGACTGGGTAGCGTGAAGGCTGCAATCCCCCCTATTCATTCAGCCACAAACGTCTCTCACTCTCTCTCTCTTAATCCTTCAAAAATGCTTACATACTCAATGCAATCAGTCCTGAATAAATCCATAATTTTGCCGGCCTTTTCAACAGGCAGCACCTCCAGGAATTTGCAGAGAGTGGCAAAACATCTTCGTTTGAATCTCTCTCCATTATTAAGGGAGTCTAAAGTCCTGATTGTTTATTAGTGGGATTCAGACCACTGAAGTGGAAGAATTAGAGGGCTTTGGATAGAATCTTGTGCAATTGTCTTAAAAAAAAAAAAAAACCACCGAAACACTGAGCAAATTAGCACACTGTTCACTCACAGGGAAAAGTACCCCAAAGCTATTAATTCTTTCAAAATAATTTAAAATACACTCATCAGCTCCATGTAGGCATAGAGAGAGATTTCTCATAGTGGTTAGTACTTATGGTATAGTGTCAAGAGTCCTCAAAGGCGTGCCGCTCCTCTGTGCCCAGCCGCTTCTTTGCTATATTTAGTCTCAGATATTTGAATGTATTTCAGCAGGGAGATGTGGCTCCTGGGTTCGCTCAGTCTCAGAGGTGATAACTCCTGGGTGCAGGTAGCTGAGATGACATCATGTCTAGTGACATTTGATCAGAAAGACTGTAATAAATGGATTTGTATGGGGATTATCACAGCCCCAGGGAGAGGAAGCTGGGATGTCAGTCCTACAAGTTTGTTAGAGCTCTGCAGATTGGAGATTTCTATTAGTTTCTTGGCAGCCATCCAGTTCTAGGGTAACCCCTTAGTGGGGCTCTGTCCACTCCCCCCACATGGCCATGAGTCATGCTTTGTATGGGCTTTGGTGCAGTTTGCTGCTGCAAGAGATGTCATGGGCCCTCCTCTCCTTCTGTGCCTTTTAGTACTTCCATCTAGGGACAATTCTCATTTCAGCCCTAATTGAAATCATTCTTTCTACTTCTACTGCAATGAATTTGTCAGACCTTCAAACATCACTTCCTTCTCTCTGCTGGGCACTAAAATGCCATTGTCTGACTCATTTTCATGGAGCACTTCCTCTGGAGGAATTTGGGACGAGTTCCAAGTTCTAGACAATATTTTGGAAAACTAATTTGGGCCCTGTACAAGACAGATTCCTTCCTAGGAATCAGCCAGCATCCAGAAATGCTGGCTTCCTACTGAACTCTCCATTATAGGGCTGAAGGTCCCTACCCTCTGGGTTACTCCCTGAGTCTTCTAGATTTTCTCTGATGGGTGTGTCCATCCAGCCTTGCTTGGGAAATATCTTTGTTGAACCAGACCTTATGTAAGGAGGATCCCCCCAGCTATTTGAGGTTTGTATAGTGGATATGTGGATGCATCCCTCTTGCCCAACTAGGATTGAATCTTTCCCTCCCTCAACCTGGGAGTGAGCATCAGCTACCCACTAGAGAATGATCCTTGGCCTAAGACTGGGCAACTATGTTGAGAGATGTCTGCTCTACCTGTGGTCCAACCCAGCACAGCCACTAGTTTAGAGGCAGTCTCTCAAAAACAAGCCTTCTGTCTTCCTCAAGCCCTTGTACACATCCCATCCTTACAGAGCATGCCAACCTTTACTGTCTCTGCCTGCATTCCTGCTTCTGACATTATGCCTGATGCTTGGACTTGGTCTTTCTAGTAGGTGATAGTTGGCTCTTCCCAGAAGAGTATGGCATTGGCTCTCTCCCTCTGAACTCTGTGTGGATTTTCACCTCTACTGTGGTGCCTAGCCTTGACACCTGTCTCTTGTCCCAGCCTCAATCACCTTCAAAGTCAAATTGATAAAAGTTCTGCCTTACCTCCAAGCACCAACCATGGCTTGCCAACCCAAGCACATGTTTTTTTCTCTCTGATATATCTCCATGGGAGGGGTTCTCTGGAGGGTATATGGATGCCTTTCTGCCCCCAAAGTTTTGTGGGTCCTCTTGGAATACTTCTCGCATTGGGGCTGCTCCTGAATTTAGGATTCTCCTGATAACCCCGTCTTGCTTCTGCTGAAGAGCGTGGACTGCACAGCTATGAAATCACTGAGAGCCAGTTACCCAGCAAATGGACCATGGGGGTATGTCTCAGAAAGACATGACCCTGGCTTTATTTCTGCATAATGTGCCTCGGCTGAGTTTAACCTCAATGTTTAGGTGGCTTAAGCATAAACTTCTCAGAAATCACAGTGTACAGACCCTGTGAGAGTGATTGGAACTGCGAAAATTTCATTTAACTCTATGTACAAATGTGTGGAGTTGAGTAGGGCCTGGCAAAGATCCTTTCCCAAGAACACTGTTCAATCCATACCTAACCCAGGTTTTCATTTATCCTTTCTTTCAGTAAGTAAATTTGTTGAACATCAGCTATAATTTAAGAACTTTGCTGGGCACAGTGGATACTTAAGTCACTAAAAAAAGTTAGGTCCTTTTCCTCAGGTGTTTGCTTGACCAGAAGGCCATTGGAAGGAAAGGCACTAAAAAAGCAACTAATATTAAATAGTTAAATAATAATTCCAGATGGTGAAAGATGCTGTGAATATAATGCATGTGAGTGTTTGCGATGTGGGAGGGCTTCTTAGAGTGCCCAGCGAAGGTGTCTTTAAAGATGTGCTCTGAACCGAGATGCAGATTATTGGAAGGAGTTCATTGTATAAGGATTTGGGATGGGGTGTTCTAGGTACAGGGAAAAGCAGGTGTTGAGGTCCTGTCCTGCAGTGGGAGTCAGTTCTATCCTGCTAGCATGTCCTGGGCGTAGGGGGCACAGGAGAAAGTGACCTGAGTAAACATTGCACAGGGAGGCCAGGGCCTGGAGCATTAGTGTGAGCAGTTTAGCATCTAAGTGCAGGGAGGCCCTGCTGGAGAGAATTATGTTGGAGAAGGACCACCCTTGGGGCTGCTCTCTAGAGAACAAGTCGAAGGACTGTAGAGAAGAAATCAGGAAACCTAAGAGGAAGAAAGTTCTGGAGCCATACAAGAGATGGGTGACCTGGGCCAGGGAGGTGGAGAGACATCCGTCCATCGTTCAACAAGTGTTTACTGAGCATGTACTCTATGCCAGGCACTATTCTGGGATTATGGCAGTGAGAAAGAGATTCATCCCTCCTCATGGGATTCCATTGAAGTAAAAGAGACTAAAAATAAAACAAATAATGAGTTGATTACATGATATATAACAGATGGTCCATTTGTTTGCTAAGGCTTCCATAACAAAATACCAGGCTGGGTGGCTGAAGCAGCATCAATGTATCATCTCACAGTTCTGCAGGCTAGAAGTTCAAGATCAAGGTGTTGGCAGGTTGGTTTCTCCTGAGGCTTCACTCCTTGGTTTATAGATGGCCACCTTCTTACTGTGTCCTCATATGGTCTTTCCTCTGTGCTCATAGTTCCTTGTTGTGTTTCAGTGTGTCCAAATGTCACCTTTTAAGAATACTAGTCAGATCGGAACAGGGCCTACCCTAAAGACCTCATTTTAACTTAATCTTCTGTTTAAAGAATCTTTCTCCAAATACAGACACATTCTGAGGTACTGGAGGTTAGGATTGTATAATCAATATATGAATTGGGGGGAGGAACAGTTGAGGTCATAACAGATGGTAAATAGCAAACTAGAGAGCAAAGAGGTGGGGAGAGATGTACAAATTCAAGGTTGAATTGGGAGACAGGGGCATCAGAGATGGTGTACTCACAGATTTCTATCCTAAGCAAGGTGGTTCAGGCCTGGGGTGAACTAAGTATGGTGTCTTCTGAGGTGCTGACCATGGGCCTAGGGGCTGCTCTTGGAGATTGCCTGTCATTTACCTGGCTAATGGCTTCTGAACTGTCCTTCAGACTGAAAACCCTTTCCCCTACCCCGAGCCTTATAATTAATGCATTTAATTATAAATTCTAATAACATAGATTATTAAAAATTCAACTATATTGAAAAATATATATTCCCTTTATGCCCTCAGACATTTTAGTTCTCCCTTTTTGCCTTCCAAATCATGTTTTCTATTAACATATGATCAGAGTTTATCAATAAGTGATTCCACTAAATATTCCAGATGTTTCAGGGGAATGAGTGACTGATTTGCAATTGAATCCTTTATTGATTGGAGCTGAAGTTAAAACTGTAGATGCTTAACTCAAAGCTTCTAAAACAGTGACCCAAGACAGGCGTAATACTCAAAGGAAATTATTTTCTCTCACAAACTGAAACATCTCGGCTATATTTTATAGCCCATTTAACATTTTTGTGTTTTTCTAAAAGTATTCTAGCCATAGTTAACCCTCCACTGCAGTTTCTCAGCCATCAGCAGGGCCGATGCAGTTATAACTATGTACAATAAATGTCAGTGCAATTTTCCACTCGGTTTCAAAGTTTCCAGCTTCTAAGTTGACTTTTAGAATTTTTCTAAACTTTCCTTTTTCCCATCGCAACCTTGTGGGGCCATGTCCCTGAGCTCACAGAGCGTCTGCAGCACGTTTCTAATGTATGTACAGAGCTTTCTCCTCAATTGTGTGGCTTCCTACTGAGCGCTGTCAGGTTTAAAGAGCAAGATAAAGGGCACAATAATATGTCTTCAGATGCTGCACTGACATCTGCAGGAGTCTAAATGTCACCAACATCAAGGCACTTTTGCCCCAAATGTACAGCCTGTTTTCTGTTGGCTGCATTCAGCAGGGTCCCATTCTGGGGAAGCTGGGTCTCAGTGGGGAGTGAGTAGTGGACGCTTAAAACCACAAGCTGGTTTTAAGGCCAACCAGGCCATCCATGTTTGGCTGAAGGTAGGTGAGTTGAAGCTGGTGGAATAATTACTCTCCCAGAGCAGCAGATACTGAGGGAAGGTGACAATTAAGAGAACATATGGCTGAAGAGTAGTCTGGTATAGAGGCTTAGGAGAAGGAGGGTCAGAGAACCCAGGAGTCCAGAGAAGAGACCCAGAAAGCTCCCACACATGAAGCTGATTCTCAGAGAGAGAGATCTGTCATGAACCAGGGATGACCCAGAGCCCCTAAGGGCAGAGACAAGAGTCAAGCAAAAAGAGGATGGCCTAGGTAAGCTCCTGTGCTGGAAGCTGTGACAGAGATTAGCATTCATGTGATCCTCAGCATACTACATGGAAGACTGGGGGCATCGCTGGATTTGGGGGGCTAGATTGGGTAAGACTGACTGGTGAGAATTTTTCCAGATGACTGATATAAGAACTACATATCAGACGTAACATACTGATAGGGATTGTCTGTCAAGGTATTTTGTTAAGTCTGTACAGTGTTTTAATAAAATGTTAAGTGATTAGAATGAGAGTTTTCATATAAAATCTGATTTCTTACTTGCCTCAAGAAATCAGATGATTGATGCCCCTGTGCAAAGCATGCATTCATAGCCTCCCTCTGCTGGATTTAAGTAGCAGCTGCCCTTTTTCAATGGGACACAGGGTCTCTCTCCAGTTCCCCCAAATTCCCACCATCCTTATTGCCTCTCCAGTGCTGAAGCTGGTATTGGATACCAGTTATTATTTGTTTGCAAAAGTAAGAGAATGAAAGATAGGGCAAGGAAGTGATGTTTTTGTTTGTTTTGTTTTACAACTTAACAATTGTATTAGTTTACATAAATATCTAGCTTTTATAGGTGCATGGGTTCGACATCTCTGCTGCAAATTGCCAGTATTTCCCCAGAATATTAACACTAGGGTCTGTTACATATCTAAATTGTCTACTACAGAACCTAAAAGGGAGGGAAGAAGAGGGATTGAAGATGAAAGGATCAAGGCAAAAGTTCTGTTGCTGAGAAGTAAGTAGGGGACATTGACCCAGAGAAGAGTTGTAGCTAATTGCACATGTTGCAGTGGTTGAGCAATTTTCTCAGTGTCCTGAAGGATAAGGGGAGAGCATCTCTTTGTAAAACCCCACACAGATTTTCCTAACATTGGAGCTAAGTCTCTGCACTCACTCTCCACATGGGGTGGATGTTCCCTCCCCCTTTAAACCTGTGACATAAAGGGACTTACAATGTTCACTCTGTTCCCTCTTCAAGAATTGACTTGAACTGATAGTTCCAAAAATAACTTTACAAAATTATACAGGAGAGCAAAAAGGAAACAATTTTAGACAATCAAAGCAGCATGACATTTGTCAGGTTGACTAGATGCTTAAACTCTGAGGAGCCCATAAGAAGTGGTCTTCCCTGGGCCTTGGGCCCTTGACACCACTTTAGCTGCAGAGAGCTCAAAGGTAGCCTTGAGAGGTCTCTGAGCTGTTGTCATTAGTTTAAAAAACTGAGCAGAAGGCACGAGTTTTCTCACGACAAGTCTGCCTGATCACACAGGGGTTCTTGGCTTTTGCTGAGATTCATAGGTGGTGAGACAATTGGTAGAAAAGCTAGCTCAAAGCAAAGAAAAAATAGCAGGGAAGGTTTCACAGAGAAGGGAAGTGGTCACTTGGGAAATATTTGGTAGTGGTGAGAAGAACCTAAGGAATCAGCACAGCCCTACCTGGGAGCCCTTTCTCTGGAACTAAGAGTCAGCCTGGTGACACCATCTTTATTCCTAATGCCCAGGAGGCAAAAGAACATACTAGTTAAGTGCCCAGTTTGGGGCTAAAGTGAAGCTGGTTTGAATTCTGTTTCTGTTTCTCATGAATGCTATATAGCTTTGGGCACATTAAACTTGTTGAGCCTTGGTTGCTGCCTCTCTAAAACGGAAGTGGCAATAATGTCTGCTTTACAGGGAGGTCATGAAGTTAAATTAGATAGAACATACAAAGCATTTATCATAGTGCCTGGCATTGTAGGAGATATCAGTAAATGGCCTTATTGTTTCTATTTGTCTCTCTGGAAAGATGACCAAAGCCCCTTGTTGAACCTCCTTGATCTGTTCATAACTCTCCATTTGTTCCATTCTGGGGTAGCTTGTTCCAGTTCATCACTGATTTAATTGATGGTGGTAGGAACACTTCCTTGTGCTTCAATAAAGAAGCTCATTCTTATAAGCATCGGATATCAGCCTTTGGAGAGCTGATGTTTGCAGAGCTCATCTAGGTAAGAACCTGTCTCTACAAACAAGGGAGGAGTGCAAGTGATCCAACCTAACAAACATGTGCTTAATCCTAGGATTGACTGCTCACAGACACTGATTTTCTCTGGAAAGTCCTTTCCCCTGTTTCACCCAGTTCCCAGAATCAGTGCTCCCTCCTATGCTCAGAAGGTACCATCACTTAGATTGTGACTCTGGGGTCTTGTGACATTGGGCATGTTTCTTGAGTTCTCTGTGTCTAAGTTCATTCACCGTAGAAGAGAGAAAATACTGCAATCAACTGCAATGGGTTAAGTGAGTTACTGTATATAGACACTACACATGGTACTGACAAAGTGAATGACAGCTGCTAGTACTTTCTCTTTTTTTTTCTCCTTTGCTCTTTGTTCTCTTCATCATGTAATCTTCATCATCTATCATCATCATCACCAAGGCCACAAGTATATTGGTCTCAGGCCCAGGGGTGCTTCACTTCAGCCCTCTCCCTCTCTCCCTCGCCCTCCCTCTGTCCCTCACCCTCCCTCCCACATTCTCTCCCTCCCTCTGTCCGTTTTTCTTTTCTTTTAAATATTTTATTTTATTTCCTTTTTAAGGCTACCCAGGGAAGCAGCCTCTGATGCTCTTCCTCTGATAATGAATATCTGCCCTACCTTGCCTCCAGTTTTTCTTCTTCCCAACTTTCAGTGTCTTGGTTCCACTTTTCATCGAATGTCAGTCTCAGAAGCAGTGGTCAATTTGGTTGATTCTATGGATGTTTGTGCCAATTTCACAAAGTGGTATTGCATAGCAGCTAATAATAGGGATTTTGAAGGTCTCAGAGACCTGAATTCATGTCTTAGTTCTCCCATTGTCTGCATGTCTGACTGTGCCAGACTATGTAACCCTTCAGAGCCTTAACATTCTGACTTATGAAATGGAGATACTGCCCACTTCATGGATGTTAGTGATGTTTTGGTGAGACACTTGTGCAGATTTCTTCGAATAGTGCTAGACATGTAGTAAGGGATTAGTAAACTCTTCGCCGAGCCAGGTCTCTTTCCAAGTATCAATTGCCCCTGACTTGTGCCCAGCCTCAGCTCCCACCCACTGACAGGAAAGTTTTACGGGCTGCTGAATCCTGTCCTCATGTGTTCTTTGTTTTTTTCTTTTAGGAAAAGCACCTCATTTTCTGCGACTCCAAAATGTTGAGGTGAATGTGGGGCAAAACGCCACATTTCAGTGCATTGCTGGTGGGAAGTGGTCTCAGCATGACAAACTTTGGCTCCAGGTAAGAATGAGAGAAACCCTGCCTGTACTGGCCCATCCCTTGGTAAGGGAGGGAAGGGTTTGGTGGGGAAGGGGATGGGATATTTTTCAAGTACCTCGGCTCCTTTGATGGTACCCTGAATCTATGATCATGTTAAATCTTAACTACAACTCTCTTAGGCTGGCATCAGTATACCATTTTACAGTTGGAGAAACTAAGGCCAAACCTGAAAGTTCTAGAACTAAAGTTTCTGATTTTGACTTTTCTACTTACCCTCTAACAAATTTTGTCTTTGAGGCAAACTGAATATTTTAGGTTCTGGGTATGTGGTGTGATGAAATCTTGACTGGAGGATTCTTGGATATCCGGGGGTTCACAAGTATATCTTGGTAAAATTAGAGAGTCATTCTTTACCAGAATTTGTTGCTAAAACTGCAGTCTGTCTATTCTCTGCTTAAACAATTCCACTAGTAAAGTATATCAGGAAAGTATAAGTCTGAATTTGTTTTCCTGTTATTTCTGCTCATTAATGCTACTTCCCAAGCAAGATAAGAAAGGGCCTCTTTGGATGGGGGACAGAGGGTAGGGCATAGAAATAGAACACAAATTGTTAGAGCATTAGTATACTATCAGTGCTAACACAAATATCAAATTCTGGGGCAGCACAGAGGTTAGAGCCATCCTGTTCAAAGTGGTAGTGGGGCTATTTAATATTTTAAAAAAATTACTAGATGACTTTATTGAGGTGTGCTTAAGATGCAATATTTAAAGTATATAATTTGTTAAGTTTTAATATGTTTATGTGTCAAACTATTTGCACAATAAAGATATGGAACATATACATCCAAAGTTTTCTGTCCCTATTTGTTCTTTTTTTTAAATTTTAAAGATGTGGGGTACAATTCAGGGTTAGGTATACAAATGTCCATTATGCAGGTACCCTTGTTGTCTGTCCCTATTTGTAAGCCCTTCTTCCTACCTTCCCTACCCCCACTTGTCACTGGCAACCACTGATCTGCTTTCTGATACCACATGTTAGCTTGTGTGTTCTAGAATTGTATGTAAATGGAATCATGCAGTATGTCCTCTTCTTTCACTAAACATAATTATTCTGGGTTGTATCTGTATTGTTGTATGTAACAATATTTATTTGTTGTTATTTTTTGCCAAGAAATATTTCATAGTGTGGCTATATCACCATTTGTTTATCCATTCACCTATTGATGGCACCTGTTGAGTTGTTTCCACTTTCTGGCTATTACAAAGAAGTTGCTGTGAACATGCATATGCACATCTTTGTATGGACATATTCTTTTTTCTCTTGGGTAGATACCTGTAAGTGAAATGGCTGTGTCATTTGGCAGATGCATGCTTAACTTCTTAAAGAATGGCAAGCTGTTTTCAAAAATGAGTGTACCATCTTACATTTCCACCAGTAGTCCATGAAATTTCCGGTTGCTCCACATCCTCATTGACACTCAATATAATCAGCCTTTTTGGTTTTAGCCATTTGAATAGGTGTGGAATGGTACTTGCTGTGGTTTTAATTTTCATTTTCCCAACGGACTAGTGATGTTAAATCTACCTGCATGTGCTCTTTTGCACAGCCGTCTCTCTACACACTTTGACAGAAGTTCATACTGTTACTTCTCTTTTTGTATTTGAGCCCATTTCCTTCAGATGGAAAATCCTTGGGCAGAAAAAACCCATCTATGGGCTTAAAGGCTTTTCCTTTCTACTTAGCAGCAAAGGAGAATGAAAATCGCAGTAATGCCTGCCTGCCCCTCCAGCTTCTCTGGGCTGCTTGCAGACCACAAGAGAGCATAATAAACTCCGCATGTCACCCTAGTATTCAGTAGTATTATTTACTCTTTACATTATAATTAGTATTAAAGTGTATTCGGCTGTGAGAAGCTTTGTCATTTCAATGGCATTGCCTCAGCTGGGTCATGAGAATGAGGCGGGACAATCACAATATTTTCAGCAACTTTACTTGGGTTTTCCAATTATTTTATGATTGTTATTGCTATAGTTCTGAGTTGCATGCCCTGAACCTTGGGCCCATCAGTGGAAGGATGTTAAAGCAGAATGTAATTGAAGTTTTGAAGAAAATAGATAGAAACACATGGTCTGCCGCTCTTCCCCACCTTATGTATCGCCTTTTCAATGGAAACCAAATCTCATTTCCCAGAACACTTTTCAGGTGGCTTACAATGGGACATAAAATATGACAAGATAGCATAAATTAAAAATGAGGCAACACAAGATAGGAAAAGAATGCACTGGAGCTGGCAATAATGCAAAGACTGCATTTCTGCACACCTTCTACTTACTTGGAGGGTCACAGGCAGAACCCACAGCACCATATCTGCCACTGGAATAAAGAAAACATGTCAGAAATGCAGTTCACAATGTCTGTGAGATAAACACAAACCAATTGCTCAGGAAAATTCTAACTGTTGTTCACATACAGGCCAGACAGGAATTGTTCCCAGGAGTCCCTGTAAAGAAAACACTGTGTGATGTAATGAGCAGCGTTCTCTCTGCAGTCTTATTGAGGGCACATAAGTGAGTTTCACAGGCCTGTTTCACATAATGATGCTCTGTGTAAAAGCAATTTGGGAAGGTGGCTGAGGAGGGAGGGATGAGGTGGGAAGTATGATATGACAGAGTCCTCGGCTCTCTGCTAATCCATCTCTATCCTGGGGTACTTAAAATTTATCTAGTGAATGAGTAGATTAATAACTGTTTCTCCAAGGAAACCTTCCTAAATATTGTCTCCCTCGTCTACATTTCAGAAACTGTCAGAAGGTAGACGGTTTATACTGTGCTCTCTGGCAAATGCCTGGGTGACTAGTTAAGTCCAGGCTTATATACAACAGTGTAGTTGGAAGAAGGTTGCATTAGTCAGGATTCTCCAGAGAAGCATATATATGTGGAAGAAAGAGACTTATTATGAGGAATTGTCTCATGTGATTATGGAGACTGAGAAGTCCCATGATCTGCTGAGTACAGCCTGGAGAGCCAGGAGAGCTGGTGTTGTAGTTGTAATTCAAGTCCAGGTTCAAAGGCCTGAGAATTAGGGAAGCCAATGATATAAATCCCAGTCCAAAGGCAGAAGAAGACCAATGCCCAGCTCAAGCAGGTAGGCAGGAAGCAAAAAGAGCAAATCCTTCTTCCTCTACTTTTTTGTTCTATTCATCAAAAGATTAGATGATGCCCACCCACAAGGAGAATGGCAGGCTACTTTACTAAGTGACTGATTCAAATGCTAATCTCATCCAGAAACACCCTTTTAGACACACCCAGAAATAATGTTTAATCTGGGCACTTCATTGCAGTCAAGTTGACCCATAAAATTAACCATCACATAGGCATTAACCGTCACATTAACATAGGTTAATGCCTTTTTATTAAAAAGGAGGCAGAGGTGCCTGTTAAGATACTTGCCACCCAGGAGATGACAGCAGCCGTCACCTGGGGCAGGCAAAGCATTAGGCTTTGCTTTAGATCTGTCCCAGCACCTAGAGGAGCAGCTGGCAGATTCATCACAGTTCTGTCCCATAGAAAAGGGCTGGGGTAACTTAGCCAGAGAATTTCCAAAGCATGTGAAACAGGCACATTGTGGCCAAATAGTCTCCATAAAACTCCTACAGCAGGTCTAGCTTTCTTTTTTTTTTCAAACATATTTTTTATTTTAAAATTGCGGGGTACAGTTAAGGGTTAGGTATACAAATATGTATCGTTCAGGCACCCTGGTGGATAAGGGGGGGTCCCCCCGTCCCCAGAGAGATATTGACTACCATTAATCCCACCACCCTTGCCCTCCCTGTCCCCTCCCATAGATTCCCACCACTGTGGATCCTTTTCTTATACTATTACAATAGATGTTCAAGGTCCGCTTATGAGTGAGAACATGTGATACTCAGATCTTTGTTGTGTGAAAGATCACTTAGTATTACAGACTCTAGTTCCATACAGGTTGCTGTGAAATTCATGATTTTGTTCTTTTTTTATGGCTGCGTAGTGTTCCATCAAGTGTATGTACCATATTTTTTTAATCCAGTCCTCTTCTGATGGGCAGCATGGTTGGTTCCAGGTTCTTGCTATTGTGAACAATGCTGTGATAAACAAACGTGTGCAGGTATCTTTTTGATAGAGTGATTTGAGTTCTTCAGGGTGTATTCCCAGTAGGGAGATTGCAGGGTCTTATGGGAGGTCGATATTTAGAGCTTTTAGGAATCGCCACACTGCTTTCCACAGAGGTTGCACTAGTTTACACTCCCACCAACAGTGTAGTAGTGTTCCCTTTTCACCACATCCTCTCCAGCATCTGTTATTTTTTGAGTTATTAATAATGGCCATTTTGACTGGAGTTAGGTGGTATCTCAGTGAAGTTTTAGTTTGCATCTCCTTGATGATTAGTGAGGTTGAACATTTCTTCATGTGTCTGTTGGCCGCTTGTGTGTCTTCTTTTGTGAAGTGTCTGTTCACATCTTTTGCCCACTTTGTAATGGGGTTTTTTGTTTTTTTCTTTTCAGCACGTTTGAGTTCCTTGTAGATCCGATATGTTAGGCCTTTGTCAGATATGGAGTTGGCAAATACTTTTTCCCACTCTGTGGGCTGTCTTCCTGTTCTCTTGATGGTTTCTTTGGCTTTGCAGAAGCTTGTCAGTTTAATAAGGCCCCACTTGTCTATCTTATCTCTTATGGCCTGTGGATTTTGGGTTTTATTCAGGAATTGGATACCAGTTTCAATTTCCATAAGGGTGTGTCCTGTGTTTTCTAAGGTTCTTATGGTTTGATGTTTTACATTTAGGTCTCTGATCCATTTAGTTAATTTTTGTGTATGGGGACAGATAGGGGTCTTGTTTGAGTCTTCTGCATGTGGTCAGCCAGTTTTCCCAGCACCATTTACTGAATAGGTTCTCCTCTCTCCAGTGGTAAGTTGTGGAGGCTTTGTCAGGTCTAGCTTTCAACAATCCTATTTCTTGCTATAACTTCCAAGATATGCTGAGGAAC